AGTTGATTCACTTTATGAGTACCCTGATACGCATTCAAAGGGTGTCCTGTATTTCTGCCTCCAAACTCGTATTCCCTTCTCAGGTAAGGCTGTTCTTCGGAGCGGATTCAGATGGCATGTCACCCCTGATAGATGGCAAACATTACAAAATGTTCTCAAAGTGCGCCATTGCATAACCGAAATTGGACGTCAGTTCCGCGTAAGGCCCCGAATGAAAACAGAAATCCCATCAGAATTCTGTCCCATTATATTCAACGATGTTTAAACAATATCAAAAAACGAAAGCACCATTTTTGATGACCAAAATCGCAAACAAAATCAAGCATTAACAGATGAGATGGGACAGCATAGAACGGTCTGTATATTTCAGAAAGCCCTAAGAATAAGTGATCAAAGCTGACAGCATCAAAAATAGTTGTGGACTATGGCTCTGGAGAGAACTCCTTCGTGGCTTAATATGTATGTTTGTTATGCCTGACGAAAAAGCCTCCAATATCCACCAAGTCCCACTTTCGCCAATCAATTCCAGAAAGAGTAATACAATCCGCTGATTGGCTGATTTCTAAAAAACCGTAAAGCTTTGGAGAAAAACAACTCATTTTCGGAGAGAACCGAACGAGCCATTACCAATCGCAGCAGGTGTGTCAACTTTATCGACTGGCTACACACTGAAGCCGAAAAATATCAGGAGAACGCGGTAGTATTTTTGAGACATGGTTGGAAGGGATTCACGGGGTCGAAATGATATGGGTACAAAACAGGTAAAAGAAGGAATGTTCAGTCCCCCTCTCGATGCGCCAGGCTATCAAATTTTTCGAAATTTCAAAGAGCAAATATTTGTGGTGAAGCCCAATCTTCTCTCAACCATGGAACTGCCCTTAAGAAAGTTACAGCAAACTAACAATGGGAAGCATCTCAGCCAGACTTCCAGGGCCTCAGGAACGTTAGAATTCAAGGTGAACGGGATAACCTCTAGATCCCACACTCTACAGCTACCCATATTTCCACTTCCACACACCCGTAAACCGCCCAAGGTTTAAGGCAAAGCAAGTGTGCAACCGATACGTAAAGCTCATTTAGCTGTGGAGATTGGGGGAGATTGGGATATGGAAGGGATTGCCGCACAACAGGGGCTTTTCAGAAACATGAAGACACTTCCCACCATCAATTGATAAATCCTCCGCGAATTTGGAAATTCTGCTTTGCTGTTAAGCCGTCCTCGTCAAAGAATGTGTCACATTGTCATTCGAAATCTGAAATCAAGCACCAGAAGCGCGGTACGTGGAGCCATAAAGCTGATATGACATACACGACAACAAGTTACGCAGTGAATTACGCGCCTGTTGCCTGTAGCATCGTAGGACGATTTTGTGTGTTCATTGTGAAGATTGCTGGCGTGGAGACTTCTACAGAGTACGCTCATACTCACGAATTTTGCTTCCTTAGATACATTTTTTGAAAATAAGAACATGCAATCCAGGACATCCGAGTCTCGGCACTACGTCTGAATTAGCGAAGCACTTCCTACCTAGTTGTCTTGACACACTGAAGCATAGCCACGTTGTCCCAATGAGGGTCCTGGTGCGAATGACGCGCACGTGACACACTGCAAAGGAAATAGGAGTCTAGAACACCCGAGCTGCTATTTGGACTTTTTGAACTACACTCGAGGGTCGACACCTAGCCGGTAGAGACTGGAACTTCATAAGTCGACTCACATTCTTCAGAACCGCCTGAGTTCCACAGCTTTTGGCCCTTGCAACACTTTTGCTCCAGCAAAGTCCATCAGTTCACCTGTGCCAAGAATCCATTTAGCGTGACTCTAGCTGATTCCAAGAGAAGTGGTATTACAAAAGTAACTACACCCTCAGAGGGAAAAATCCAAATATAGGTAACGATATGGATCGAGGTTAGAACGCTCACAGATTTATTTTAACTACACAGCAAGCGCTACAGTAACCATCATGACTACAGTAATCAACGATCAAATGGAAAATTTGTAACTGAACTATAGAAACACTGTAGATTTATTCCAGTAATTCATATATATGTTTTTCGATCTATTTTTGTTCGACAACAGCCCGTGTACGGGATCGAATTCGTACGAGGCACTGCTCTGCACTGTCTGCACGTTCTTCGGCCGTTTCCAACGCCATCTGTACGGTACGGTATTTGGCCAGGTGATAGTTGGCCTGCTCTTCCTGAACAGAAAGACGGTGATTTACGGTAGGAGAGGTCGGATACTGTAGAACTTACCGCCTCTTCGAGTTGCTTCTTCTGCATTTTTAACTTGCCGGACAGCTTTTCGACGAGCTCTTGGAGCTTATCGTAGTTCTTCTTATCCTCGTTAACCTGGGATGGAAAAGCAATCAATATAGGCAGGAATCACTCAATTAATCAATAAGCAATACATGCAAAGAGATTGAGGCCTTTTCTGTACTGAGGAAATCTTTCTTATTACACACCTGGAAATCGAGTTCGCGTACTCGGCGATCAGCACGAGCAAGCGATTTCGCCGCTTCTGTCGCGCGGCGTGTCTCAGTCTCTAGATCGCTTTGGAAGGGCCTTCAGACGAGCCTCAGCCTTCATGATCGCCTTCGCTCCACCCTTCATCACAGCTGCTTCAGCGATGTCAGCACGCTCTTGCATGTCCTAAAGCCGAAATGGTAATTAATTGAAAGCTTCACATTTATGGCTAAAACTCGACTGAAATTAGATTTATAGTTTTACCGATTCCCCGTTTGGAAGACTGGTCACTCTATTCCCTCTCACATAATGATTCACGAACTTCTTGGCAACTTTCAGAGCCAAAATTAGAGCGCTCTGAAACGCAGGCAAAACGTGCGCTGTTTATACTCACAGGAGATCTAGCTGTCTGCTGTCTCTCGCCTCTATTTTGCAGGGAAATACAACACGGCAGCGAGAGACGCAGATGGTCAGACAGTCAGCGCGGTGTCCGCAAGCGAAGAGCGTCGCGCTTGCATAAACGCGCTCGAATAAGCACCAGAAGTTCAGCTTACTTGATGCCTCTAACAAGGACCTTTCTATCCTACTGTACCCGTGATTAATTGCTCGTCACAATTATTACTGTCATTATTTAACATTGCAAAGGATTTTCACTAGATTTTTATCAGGAAAAGCTCCACTTACCTTCACTTGACTCTCAAGCTGTTTCTTGTAGCGCTCAACCTGTAGGGAATGTTCCTGTTCATGTCGCAGATCCTCAGACATCTTAGCTGCATCGGCGGCAGCACGTCGTCCACGGTCCTCCGAAGCGGACAGTTCCATTTGAGCTTCAGAAATGTCACTCTGAATAGCTTCATTGAGAGAACAATCATTAAATTCCACACGCCTTTACCATAAAATTATCCTAAGTTGCAACAAAGTAAATACAAGTAATAAGAAAAGTATAAGAATAAAAAATAGTCAGATTTTTGACTGAATAGAACCTTGAGAAGTGCTATTTCATTGTCGAGTTGACTCTTTGCGGCTGCAAGACCACAGTTTTGTGAGTTGAGCTCGTTGTTCTGTTCTTGGTGTTCCTTGACAGCCTGTTCAACAGCACGACGAGCGCGCTCGATCTGAAACAATTTGTAATATGCGGTTAAAAAAACGGCTAAAAATACGCTTTTCACCGGTGAAACTGTTTTAGTTTGACCATTCTATGATAAATTAGCAAAGGCATATTTGAGTATTGCATTTTTCAATCGCCTACGAAATCGCGCCGCCACCATTTGATGTGGCGAAACGCTGCCATCGCGAAGTCTGAACGCTGCCTTAGGAATGGATATTTGTGACATAATAAGATATAGTGTTTTGGAGGAACACCCAATATGCACAACCGGAGCGCGGCCTGGGAAAAGGGAAAATTTTTAGGGAAAATTCTTTGAGAGGGAGAATATTAAGACGTTTCTGCCATATACAAATCTCTACCAAGTTTCCTCCTCCGGTACTGGGTGGAGGGGAAGTGTACACAACTATGTAGTGGTTTTGCTGCACCGCTGACAAGAGTACGGAGTGGGGGGGGGGGTATAGTGCACGTGGAACGGAAGTAAATTAACAATCAGAGCGATTTCCCCATAGGCCCAACACAAGCCCCTCTTCCTACAGCGACCGAATATGCCCCCCGTCTGAGGAATCGCAGCGTTAGAGTGCCTTGTTCACAGCAGTATTTTCCTCACATGAAGGTCTGATCCCATTTACTGAAAACATAAGGATGGAAGGATTGGTTGCCGTGGGCGGGTTCGTATGCTCAATCACGGGGCCGCTGGGAACCCTTCGCCCTGACATCCCCTGCAGCCGGAGTAGTGTTTGTAAAAGGGTGTCAGCTGTGAAACTTGGACACACCTATTTTTTCATAACCCCTACAGAACCGAAACAAAGCCCTCCTCCCGAAATAACGCTCTGTGAGATAGGATTGGAAAGGCTGAGGAGCAGATGAGCAGGAAAAGGGACAAGGACAAGACTGGCCCGCAGTGCCATGCTGAAGGATAGGCCAAGAACACTACTACTATATATTTTTACTGACCATGAGTTATAGGAATATCAAAAGATTGACTCACTGCTTCTAGCTTGACGATCAGCTCTTCCTGCTCTTGTTTGGCAGCGGCCAGTTTACGTTCCGAACTCAACAAAAGCTCTCTAAAAAACGATTAGTCAAAAATCGATTGCGAATGACCTCTCATGGATGAGATATGAAACCTATTATCTAGTAAAGAATGGTTTGGATACCTGAACTCTTCACGTCTCTTCTGTTCATCATCGATGGCCTGCTGCAGTTCACGGGTCTGGTCCATGTATCTTCTGAAACAGGAAGTTCAGATAAGAAAATTCATGATTTTGCTGGTCTTGGATAGCAGAACGAGATGGAGCAGTAGTAGGTGGCGACGCTACCACTCGAACGGTTCCTCCACGCATGTTTACGCCCAAGCCAGTCAAACCACTGGCGAAATCGCTTGCTTGTCAAAGACATCTATGGGAGAAATGCGTCTAATACGGGAGCACAACAGAAGGATTAATCTGAACCGGATGTTCTGAGCGCTACCTTTGGACCGTACGACTTGGGAAGGTGTCAAATCTCCCAAGGACGTAAAACACCCCCTCCCCCCATCACCTGATCCCTGCTCGATTTGAAAACAGTGATAATCCCACATCCCGTAAACGCAAAATGAACTACTGTACCTATAGAAATTGCCGAATGGTATGTAACTATGAGGTTACTGAAGAGAAATCAAATAAATCGATGCGCACTGAAATCACTGTGAACCCACCTGACGTTCTTCTGAGCATCTTCATTAGCGCGGTTTGCATGGTCAAGAGCAATTTCGAGCTCGTTGATGTCAGCCTCGAGCTTCTTCTTGACACGGAATAGCTCAGCTTTGGACTTCGTTTCCGAGTCAAGGGTAGCCTAAAAGGAAATTTGAGGCTCAGAAACTGTTTAATGACACCAAGGAGCGCTACACAGTCAAGAACAAGACAATCCGCCCTTGGGGCCCAATAT